GTCGCGTGGCGGTGACGTAACCGCACTTAAAATGCATACTTCAAGCGTGCAGACTCTGAATTGGGACACAGCTAGTGCGGGAGCAGCGGCTTCGCTCATGCGCAATTCATTTGCCTTTTGGACGCACAGGTGTGAACGTCTCATGCCCGGATAGCAGCTGGGGAGGACTGTCCTCCGCCTCGGAGCGCTTTGGCATGGGTGAGGTGCCCACCGGCAGCACCGCTGCTTGTTGAGAGTAAGAGCGATACGCGTTTTCACGTCAAAAAGTCGTCATAAATAAGTCTCCAATAATACCAGAAAAAGTCGCCAGATTTGTCGCTAGTCGCTTTTTAGAAAAAAAGTCGCTAAGGGGGTCTGAAAACTCGCTAAATATAGCGACAAAGTCGCTAAGTTGACAACACGGCCACAAGCACTGCTAGGAGGAGGAGGAGACTGCACTCGTGCACCCACCACAGTGGGGTTGAACCAAGGGCGTAGATTTGGCATGGACGGAAGGGACGTGTCCCCACCAATATCCAGCGATTATTGAATTGTCCCCACCAATAATTTGATCTCTTCGAGTATGTTAGGTGACGGCTGTGTGCGGACAGGAATAGGACCCAAGGTGCAGACTCCGGAGAAAGAACTTAAACCAAAACAGCTTTAATGCTGAACGCAAACATCACATAACTAGAAAAACTCAAAATAAACTAACACCGGTGGACTGGCAAAACACACAGCAAAATAAACGGTAGATCGCGACACTGACATAGAGAAACACAGGGCTTAAGTACACAGAGGGAGCAATCAGGGAATGGGTAACAGGAGGGAAACACAGCTGGGGCAAATCAGAACTGACGAGACAAAAGGAAGCGTAAACTGAACACACTGAGATAAGACAGAGACCTTCAAAGTAAAACAGGAAACACATAACACAGACTCACATGCAGGCACTACAGAGGGAACAGAGACGTGGGACCAGGGCAGACACAAACACTGACTGAACACGGGGATATAGGAACTAAGGATACACAGAGACGCAAACTAGACAAGGGGATACAGGTGATAGGGGAGACAGAGCAACTAAAGAAGACAGAGACATAAACCATAAGACAGAACTCAAAGAAACCAAAGACTAAAAAGTATAAATAATATAATAAACTCAAATACCCTGGGTCAACGACCCAGGCATCCTAACAGAGTAAAGAAAAACTAACCCGATAGAAAAAAAACCAACATCTGTCGACGTCTCATTCACCCAGCGGTGCAGAAAGAGTTAAATCACGTCATGTGACAAATATGGCCAATGTGATTGGCTGAGCCTTTCAGGGAGCTCTGTTTAGTTCTAGCAGCGGCAAACCTGCTCTGCAAGGAGGAGAGGAGGACGGCAGCAAAGAGGAAGAACCTGGATATAAGAAAGTATTTTTCAAAGAAACCTGTAAGTCACTTAAAGCCAAGTTCACTCATAAAATGTGTCATAATAACGTTACAGGCTATGCTAGGCTTTGGCCCACATCAGTCTAAAACTGTATGTAACCATGAATAACGTGTTTGGGAAACTAACTGCACAACAGGCGGCACTGTTAGTTCTCTCAGTCTCAGAGCAGCGTTTCTAATTTTGATTGAAACTGTCAGAGAAAACGCAGCCTCGAGCAGCCCGGATATTAGTTTACAGAGGCTGTTAAAATTATATGTCTAACGTTAAATGTTGGTGACACAATAATTTCATCCTAATGGCACTGACATATTCATAGGGTTAATTTTTGAGAAAAAATGTAATGAGGTAGTCATGATTGTGCAAATATTCCAACCAACACAAAGCTCAGAGAGTGATGGTGACACAAGATCACAGGTGAAATGATGACTTGTTGGTTCATGACTGTATTTGAAGCACATGTGTGACTGCATGTATGTGGAATGTCTCACTGTTATTCATCAGGTGACAGAGGCAGCTCTGCCATGTTGTAGCTCAGAGGTGAAGAGGCGAGCTCACAGGTGACTGATGATTAACTAGTATTTATTATCATGACAATTGTTAGGCTGCTGATGTAAATTGATTCATTAGTGTATATTTGACAAAGAATCTGAATTGACACGTCTCACTTTTTATATGGCACGAATCCATGTGTTATTTTATCAGGTGGCAATATGTCCTAGTGCAGTCAGAGGGGAGGAGCCAGGGCCAAAGGTGAGGCACATCAAGCACAGAATAATAATTGTAATCTGAGGATAAAACGCAGGTACTGAGGCTGAAAGAAGCTTCAGTGCTCTCAGAAGACTAAAAAGATGGCTAAGGTCAACAATGACTCAAATGAGATTAAACAATGCTGCTGTGTGTCCACCAGGAGAGACTGGACAGTATAGATGGAAAACCAATATGCCAGCAGTTTATCTCAGTTAACGAGAGGAGCAGGCATGTGTGTGGCTCCTTCACATAGTGGACATTGAGTTGTTGTGTGGAACACCAGTAGCTGTAACAGTAGTTCATGTTTAGAATAAAAAATCCCAGCTCACTGAGTTAATCGGGGCAGTAGTGCCTAAAATGTTGCATAATGTTGCTGAGAGATCTTTTACTTTGTGGTAATCTTAGACGAGTAGTTTTATGGACAAAACCCAGCAGGTCCTTCAGTGTTCCCTTAGTGCTAATAAGACATGTTGGTGTAACTGAAGTAATGTTGTTAAGTCCTTAAAGTCATATTCTTTTATTGTCATGACTGTATTTGAAGCTATTTTTATTTTTCTATGATACCAGATTTATATGGAATATGGCTGAAGTGAACTAAACTCTAAAATACTTCGTCAGTCATTTGTTTAATAGTAATTTAACATTATATAATTCAAATGTAAAACTATGAATTGTGATTTTAAATGGTTTAAAAGCATGGTATACATATGTAGGCAAGTATATTTCTTTTTTTTATCAAGAAGCAAAGACAAAAAGGAAAAAAAAAGAAACAGGGCAGGGTTCGGTGGTTGAATCATCCGTCCCCACCAATGCCAAAACCAAATCTACGCCCTTGGGTTGAACTGTTGTCCACTGACCTCACTGTAAATATGTCCACTGTCTTCTTCTTTCTACACCAGCTCTGACAATCAGTCATAACCAGAGCATTATCATTCACAGCGTGTAAAATACCGACAACCCGTCACAATCGTCTGTGTTTTATGTGCCGGGTTGAGAATGTGTTGGCCTAACGCCTGAACCTCAGCATTATTGAAGCAGTGTGGGATCATCTTGACAAAGAAAGCCTGCTCTAGATATGACTCTAGCTAATCAGTGTATCCCTGTGCCATGGTGAGTCCTGACCTGATAGGTGTTCCCATGAGTATCCGTATGACTCATAGCTGTTATAACTGTTGCGGCTCCTCCAACCTATGGCCGCGGCAGGCTAAACATGAGGACACAGATGACGCGCAGCAATGAACACGTAAAATACACTGTAACATTTGCTCCTTTTATTCCACATGCAACTGTCCAATATACAAATCAGAACATGGGATTAACTATTAAACAAATGCACAGATTGCACAAACAAATAACTGCAATTTACCAATAACTGCACTAACTACAATGTCAAATTACAACTTGGTCTATGGTATCAATTAGTGCACAAATATACAAAAACCATCAAGTTACAGTTAAAATACATCAAAATCATTCAAGCTGCGGTCAACAGAAAGTTTTGCCTCATGCTCACCCTACCTTTCTGCTCATCAACATCAGGTGCTGTGAACAGGTGAGTGCAACCACATTTATCATCTACCACACCCATGAGACACGCCCCACACCCGTGACAATAGAGATTGACAGACCACGTGACTTTCGCGCATTGCATGCCGGGAACTCGTGGCAAAACAATCCAAGTACCGCATCAAATGCAAGCATTTGCAGCACCGCAAAACGTTCATTCTTCGGTTCCAATAAATTCTTGCTTTTTCTTTGCCCCCCAAAAAGGTATGTACAAAACGAAGGAGAACAATGCCGGTCCGTACAAAGACAGACTTGATGAAAAGTCAAAGAAAAGATACGAGGAAAAAAATCAAACCAGTGAAAGGGTCAGACCCTTACGAGCACACAGAGGGACAAAATACGTTAGCGTGCTGCCCAACTTTCACCACGCTCATATTTATAATCATACGGTTCTTGGAGTGAGTGCATACACTCATGAAGTTTAGTAACTTCAGGTCACTGCAACAAGCCCAGGTACAGTTTACCGACGGATGGGTGCAGGACCTTGAAATGCACCGTGTAGAAAGTAAAGACCATCGTACGTATCATAAGTTTACCAGTCTCACAAATCGTCGTCATAAATACACATTCGTTAACCGTTTATTAATAGGACCTTTGAGCTCAACGGTAATTAATTAGTAGTGGAAATAATTTCTGGTTCATTACAGAAATGTAGCAGTGACAATAATACTGTATGCTGTAATCGTACTGGACAATTAGTGATACAAAACAACTGTTTTATCCTGTGAATAAAAGTATATGTTTTTGTCAATGTACCATAATAACAGAAGCGAAACGCAATATTGTGTCAGGACAATTCACTATTTATGCACAATAAACAAAGGAGCATAGCGCGACAATTTCTGTTCAGCGCCAGACTTGCTTGTAACCTATATCACCAATTATGTTAAGAAAATGACGCATTAACTACAACAGCAGACTGACCTTTGTGGAAATGCTTGGAGCAGACTAACCTGTGAGCTGGAGTGTTCTGGGACGTTATATTTTGTCTTTGAATGGCTGCAATCCAGTCGCGTCTTTGTTACTTCGGAAACATGGCTCGAACAATTTCTCTTCAACGACGTAATCCGATAACAACCGATCTCTTTACCCGTCGGCTTCCCGTGGCTGTCATGCGACCGGCTATTGCAGTTAATAATACAACAGCTTCTTGACATTTTTGTGTTTCTTTTTATCGCTGTGTAACTGATTTCAATTGAAAGCCTGCGTGCGCTAGTACCTCTTGCCACGAGTTCCCAGAATCCTTTGCGGTTTTACCCCTGAATGACGTCACATTTTCAATCTCTATACAGTGAGTCCATTTAAACCAACCCACTTAGTCAAAAAAGGAACTCGTATGGCTCCTACATACCAGCCCCTAATTATTTTAGAGCAATAATTACATCATACTTACCATGTAGGAGACATATTGATAAACATGATCTATCCTTTATCAAACATTCAAAGATACAATTTTAATTCAAAATAAACAAATATACATTAATACAAATAGACATTTGAAAAAGTCAATCTTCATGACTCTTCTGCTTCCTGTAGAAGACACTTTAGTGATCGGCCTGTCCAAACAACCAGTCTTTGTTTTAACACGAACCTGACGTACAAGTCCTTTACTGTCAGAAATTGCTTCCACAATCCTTCCAGTCACCCAAGAGTTACGAGGCGCAGAATCATCGACAACGATAACCACATCCCCAGGAATGAAGTTCCGTCCGATTCTCTGCCACTTCTGACGCTCTTGAAGCTGGGGCAGGTACTCCTTGACCCAGCGCTTCCAGAACAGGTCAGACATGTACTGTACTTGCCTCCATCGACGTCGTCCATACACGTCCCCCTTCTGAAACACTCCTGGTGGTATCAATGGCTTGGTCTTAAGCAACAACAGATGGTTAGGAGTCAAGGCCTCCAAATCATTAGGATCAGTAGAGGCTTTAGTTATTGGTCTACTGTTCACAATAGCCTCTGCCTCACAAAGAACTGTACAAAGGCCTTCTTCGTCCAAATTCTGCACTTTCAAAATGGAATTTAACACCTTCCTGACAGACCTTATGAGACGTTCCCAAACACCGCCATGATGGGAACCAGCAGGAGGATTAAAAATCCACTTTATGCCCTTTTGCAGCAGCATCTCATGAATCTGTGCCTGATTCCATCCTTCCACTGCCTCTTTCAACTCACGTTCGCCACCCACAAAGTTCACAGAGCACACTTCTTCCAGTGTAATCTCCTGGTCCAGTATTATGTCATTTCCTCTGGGAATATTCCTGTCCTGTTGCTGTCGGTTGCCACCAAACATGAACCCAAAATCACCAAAGAAACTGGAGAAGATATCGCTGTGAGAGCTGTGGTGACCCTCTTTGAGCCTGTACTCTCCATACATGTCATACTGTTTCCTTTTCTCCTTATCTGAGAGGACCTCATAGGCTGCCCCCAAGTCTGCGAACTTGTCCAGGGCTTGCGGGTCGTCTTGGTTTCTGTCGGGGTGTAACTGCAAAGCCAGCTTTCTGTAGGCCTTCTTGATGTCCCTGATTGATGCACTCTTGTATTCATTTGCATCAACAGCATTAACTAAATTGGCCATTTTAATCTCTGGATCATTTAAAAGAGATCTTTCCAAAATCAAGGTTCACTGGCCAATTAATTTCTGGTTCAGCAAGAAACTTTGGCCCTGACAACCAGGAATCATCCTTGACAAACTTCCGTTTAAGGCTCATAGCTCGCTGTTCTACAGCCTTCCTATTATTTGGCATGTTTACCTGATTGCACCTAAAAGGTAAACCAATGGTGTAATGACCATCAACCAACTTAACAGAATCCATCACTGACTTCATAAACTGCTGATCTTCTCTAGACAAAGCAAACTGCTCATCCTGAATACATTCTGGAAAATCAGCCTTCATTTGACGTTCCCACAGCTCATCCAATCTTGCCACGGAAATCCTATTGACACTCACATCAAAAATGTCAGTCTTACGATCCTCTCTGAGAGGACCATTCACCGTCCAACCCAGCATAGTTTTTACTGCATAGGGACCTCCATCCTGACTTCTAACAACCTCCCATGGCTCTAAAGCCTTGGGCACATTGGTCCCGATCAACAGGTCTACCCCGGAATTTATCTCCAGTATCTTAATATGGCGCAAATGTGGCCATCTATCGAGATCTTCCTGTCGGGGAATATTACATTGATGAACAGGCATGCTTTTCTGAGTAAATAAGTCAGGCAAGTCACAGTAGTGATCTAAATCCAAACCAGCTACTTCCAAATCTGAAACACATAGCTACTGACCATTTTCTCCTGACCCATTGTCCGCAAAAGAATGCCAGTTTTCCTTCCTGAAAGATTCAGCCTATTCATGAGCCCTTCAGTACAAAATGAAGCTGAGC